GGATTAACCTTTCGACTGGAAGGGAATGGATACTGACGGGATACCATGGCCACCCAATTAGACACAAAAGAGAGGAAACATAGCAAATCTCAAGACAATTGGCAACCAACAGGAATGTACCATGAGACGTGATATGCGACTTTAATGATATAGCTTATGTGACAGATAAGGATTGAGGGGCACCTCCATCTACTTTGTTCATGATAGGATTCTATAATACTTTAAACTACTGCAAATTATCCAATATTTTGTTAATGGGATACCAATTTACCTAGTCGCGTGGGAAGGACACCAACATAATAAGCGAAAAGATTGATAGATGCCCAGCAAATGATCCCTAACTTGCCTGCTTCCTACAAGTCTGACTAAAAAATCTTTGCACTCCAGTATCATATTACTCATACATCTTACTCATCTATGATGGTACCAAAGTCAAAAGGGTAATAGCTTGATTATAAATTCAAGAATGCTTGGTTATTAAATCTGAAGGTCGAGGATGTAGTGGCTGATATCTGGAGAGATGAAAGTGATACTAATATTATGATGAAAATAACAAGCTATGGGCTAACATTAAAGGAATTGGGTCACTCGCAAGTAACTTAGTTTTATAAGAGGAAGAATACAATCTACAATCAAATATTGGCATAAAAAAGGTCCAAAGACAGAACTAGCCAACAAATATCTAAAAAACTAAATACGGAGTGCATCCAACTCCTTGAGGAAGAAGACGTTTTTTGGAAACAAAAAGTAAAGAGGTTTTGGCTGCAGCATGGCAATCAAAATTCTAAATCCTTTCATAGATAGACCATTCCAAAAAAAAGGAAAAACTACCTCACAGCCTTGCGGGATGAGAATGAGGAGTTGATTCGGGATTCAGCTACCACACGAGCATATCATTAACTATTTTTTAGAGTTTTTCAAGGTCTCGAATGAGGAATATAAGGAAGTAACCAACCAAGTATCTAACAGAGTCAAAACAGGGGCTAGTGAACAACTAATAACTCCCCTTAGTGGCGAAGATATCAAAGTGATAGCCTTTTAAATGCACCCCGATAGGGCTTAGGGACCTGATGGGATGAATATAACATTCTTTCAAAGATTTTGGGGTATCGTGGGAAGGGAAGTAGTATCTTGTTGTCAAAAGTGGTTCGAATAGAAAGAACTCCCTAAGTTAGTTAATGATACCTTAATAGTTCTGATACTAAAAAAGAAGAACGCAGAAATGGTTAAGGATCTAAAGCCAATCTCTCTATCCAATGTAATATATAAGATATCCTTAAAAATATTGGCTAACTAGATGAGGATGATTTTGCAGGAACTCATCAAGGAAACTTAGTTGGCTTTCGTCCTAGGTCGATTAATGATGGATAATGTTTTGTTGGCATTCGAGATTATACACCGAATAAAAATAACAGGATGAAGGAAGATAGGAGATATGGCAATGAAGATCGACATAAGTAAGGCTTATAATAGAGTAAGATGAG